GCTAAATTAGAAACTTTGGGAACAGAGCCAAATAATCTGTATTTTAACAAGCCTACCATGTGATTCTGATGCACAGTCTAGTTTGACAACCACTGGTCTAAATTATTTTGCCCCCCTGCCACCAAATTGATTTTATTTTCCTAAAAGATGTCTTAGGGGAATGAGTTTGTAGGAAAAGTACTTCCCCTTTAACTTGAATAGACATGCTTCAGTGCAGGACGCCTGAGGAAGTATGTCTGTATGCTGCCTTCTGTGAATTCCGGGGCAAGATCATTCTGTTTTCATAAGCTGCAGCTGGTAGCAACTAGAAATATACTTCAGAGCCCCTGTTCCTGGCAACCATGGCAGTTTTCCAGCCCATGCTGGCATTGCCCACAATGCCTTGTAGTAGGAAAAAATAGTTTTTCTTTTTAAAAGTGAGAGAAGAATTCAGACTCAAAATCAAGACATCTAAAACTAAATTCATTAATTTCCTGTAATCATATTGTTCCTTCAGGATGTCTGTTGTTTTCAGTATATCACTGTTCTCCTAGACACCTGGCCTTTCAGAGCCGCCCTCTGCTCCCCCCCTCTTCATGGCCTCCCATGTTCACTCCCACCTCCGAAACAAGGTCTTCCTCCTCATCAGCAGGTGGCATTGTGGTTTCCTGCCCCTTGACCCTGGCTGTATTACCTTTCTTTCAATCCATTTTACTCACTACATACAAATTAACTTTCCTTAAATAATCATCTCTGATTCTCACTCTCGTTAAAACTGTGGTGCCACTGCCTGCAGGCCAAACTCGTTTGCCTAGAACTTCAGGCTCTCCATAATCTGACACTAACCGTACCTTTCTGAGCATCTGGGAGTGCCCTCCCTAGAGGTTCTACCAGCCGTCCTCTAACTACACTGCCCATTCTCCCCTTGCTCATGCTCTCTGCCATTATTTAGGGGCTGGAATACCCTCATTCAACATCTACTTATTTAAAGCCTGTCCTCTGTCAAGGTCCAGCTCAGATTTCCTCCATATAAGCTCAGCATCATTTACCCCAGGTCATAGTGCCCTCTCCAACTCTCATTTTCCATAGCCTTCTCTTTTTCACCTCTATCCTATGGTGTGCCTTTTTCCACCTCTCCATGTGCATTACTAGCAGTGTGTTTTGTCAGATTTTGTGTCTTCAGTGCCTGTGTAGCATTCCTTGAACATTTATCCACAAATGGGGAAGATACACAAGTATTAAGTATTTATGGAATTTTCAACATGTTTATATTTTAATGAGCTTTATTTGTAGATGTGTAATGTTCTTGTAAGTGTAAAAACTTAATCAGTTATAAATAATGAGCCTCATTATTTTCACTGTTTTGACATTAGAATTAAGAAAACATTCCTAACATGAACGTAGCTCAGCTTGCTTCTAGAGAGTGTCTGTAAAAACACAAATTTATGAAGCCCATTTTGTTTGACATAAAAAGCTTTTAATGTCACAGGTACATATATGTTACTCTCTGATATTTTATATAGTGAAAAAAATACATTAACATGGTAAATGGAAAAAAAATTTTTTTTAATTGGCTTTAGTGTATGGTTGAGGTAGTTTTGCTAGAATATCCAAATATTTAGATTTGGAGAAAATACAATTTTTAGCACATTATCAGTATTATTAATTCATCTTTTCCCTTAACTAGGATATCAGAATGTTTAGAACTGATATGAAATGTAATACTAGTCTTTATACTATTTTAATAACTAATACTAATTTAATAACTAAACTAACAACACTAAAAATAAAAGAAGGAAACTATTAAAACCTCACTAATGCACAGTGTGAATTGATCAAAAGCATGAATTATAATAAATTTTACCTTATAGGAGATGCAATTTTATGATTTTTAAGAACATCACAGGGACTGAAGTTAGTTAAGGAAATGTGGCCTCACAGATTCTAGTGGAAAATTATCTTAATGAATTAATAAACATTATTTATAATTATTTCTAGTCAAAATATACGTAGAATGTCTAAAATGCTTAAATTCGTACTCTTAACTAGTTTGTGAACATTAGTCTTGTTTACATTACTCATTTGTGTGATAGAGGAAGTACTGATTGAGGGCCTCTTTTGTGTAATAATGCTTAAAGAAACTTCGTTTTCACACAGCAATAATTTTTCAAGAAGCAAAATTTATTCACTTACTCTGCAGCCTTTCAATATCTAAGTCCCAGCACTGTGACGTGCCACACTCAGCCCCTTCTGTGGAGCAACTGCTGCTCTGTCCAACTCCGTCTCTCATCACCTTACCTCCTGCCAGGAGTAAACTTGCAGCCCCTAGATGTTCCAGGGGCCCTTGTAAGTCTGTGCCTTGGAACAGGTGATCCCTGTACCTAAAGTGCCTTGTCCCCAGGCAGAGCCCCCACCCCACCCAACTGTTTATTGTCTTTATTGTTGGTTGCAGTGTGTCTCCTCTGGGGGCCTGAGAGGGAGAGTGCCACGGGTTCTGGGCCGCGGGGGCTGAGCTCAGAGCAGTGCACCGGTCCATAGCAAGTGAATGCTGGAGAGGGGCTAAAAAGAGAGTTATAAAAATGTAGGATTTGTTTGGATAACATTGGACCAACAAAATTGTTTCATAGTTCACAAATGCAAAATTAGCCAGGATTTTTCTAGTGCTGTCAGGTAAACAATGAATACTGAAGAGTCACCACTTATTCTACTAACTGAAAATGTCAGCTTAGTTCTCTGAGAATGATCTCATCCAATTCTAGGAAGGGAGCTATATACTGGGAAGAACTGGTCATTTTATGTAAGTGGGAACTTTAACTTGATTTAACATGTTGGTACTCCGTGCCACTTTTTTCCATTTGATATGTTTCCATGAAACACTTTGTTCACAGGACTTTGGAAATACCACCTCTCCTTTGTTATTCTACCCCTCTCGTGTCTTCTACTCGGTCTCCTTTGCTCATTTTCCTCCCCTTCCTGACCTCCGAATTTTGGAGTGTCTCATGGCTCTGAATACTTGTGTAAATCATGATGACTCTGTATTTGATCTCTCTTTTATCTCCAGTCCTGACTGAATCCCTCCTCCTAAACACCAGGCGTATTTACCCAGCTTCCACTCAGCATCTCCACTGGATGCCTCCAAGGCCCTGGTCTGTATCAAGCTATACTTACAGGGCCAAAACTGACCTCTAGGTGACATCTCCTCAACCTGCTCTTGCTTTAGTCTTCCCCGTTGCTGAGGTAAATAGCAGCTGTGTCCTTCATTTCCTCAGGTCAGAATCTTGTCCTTCACATCTATGATGCAAACCATTAGTGTGTCCTACAGAGTATATACAGACTGTAACTATGGCTCATGACTATTTCTGTCATCCTGGCCCAAGTCACCACTTTCTATTGTCTGGAAAATCATAATGGCTTCCTGATCAGTCTTCTTGCTTCCATTCAGATCACCTTGTATTTTATTCATAATGTAGTAGTAGTCAGATCGATCCTTTGAAAACTTGTCAGATTTGCTCAGAACTATCCAATGATTCCCATCATTTCACAGAATAAAATGGAGTCTTTAACACACACTCCCAAGGCTCTCCCCAGGCCTGGGATAGTTCTCTGGCGTTCTCCCTTTCCTGCTCCTCTTTGTTTCTTATTCTACTCCCTCTGGAGTTTTGCATCTGTTAGTCCTATGCATGGAGAACGGGGTCCAGATAGTCATATGATGCACTCCCTTTCTTTATTCCAGTGTCTGTCATCAAAAATAAAATATAGCCAGGGTAGTTCAAGAATACTAGTGGGAAACAAATATAGTTATCTGATATGAATATAGATTATTCATATTTATTCACTCATTAAATCAAGAAACAGTGAAGATTCAAAGATGTGTGAATATAAGTGAAACTGGAAGCAAAGAGACCAATCTAGAAGTTAAACTGATTCAGTAATCCAGGAAGTAAATGATGAAGAACTACACTGAGAGAGTAGTGGAGGACACAAGAGGGTAAAAACAGCGGATAGAATAAGATGATAAGGAGAAGTATTGAGGAAGTATTTAGAAGATGAAACAAAAGGACTCAATGCCTATTTGAAAATGGAGGGTGAAAAAAAAGATTGGATCTACAATGTTTTCCAACTTTCTGAACCGTTGGACTAGTTGTATTCATTAAGGGGTATGACTATAAAAGGGTTTGCTCATCCTGAGGAGAGCTCAAAGCAACACAATGCAAGAAAAAATAGAATTCCATTTATGCTTTCCTCAATTGTTGAGTTTCTAATTGTATGTGACTTACCAAGCATATAAGAAATGAATACGGTCCTGCGTGTATGTACTTTATAAATAAATGAGTATCAATATTTTGTAGGATATGCTCAAATATTTTATTATTGGGGTAAATGATCAAAAAGCTTGCAGACATCTGAGTGAAGAATTATAAAAGGAAGCATAAATTTGGTAGTTATGAGGAATTTGAGGTGCCTATAGAACATTCAGGCAATAATTCCCAGTGGGCAGTAAGGGTCTAGCTCAGACAAGACTGTCAGTAGAACTTTGTGCGATCATGGAAATGTCCTGTATATGTACTGTCCACATATGGCTATTGAGCACTTGAATTATGACTAGTGCAACTGAGAAACTGAAATTTTTTATTTTGTTAAATTTTAATTTATTTAAACTATTATAGCCATGTGTACCTAATAGCTACCATACTGAAAAGCACAGATCTAAACCTTAGAAGAAAGATATGAGCTCTCATGTATTGAGTTCTTCCACTGGCTAGGCATTTTAGATATATTTTAAAGCAATTTAATCATTTCCACTACCGTGTGGTATTGGAAAAGAAGAGAGTTATATAAAAGACATTATTATAAAAGAAGAGAGTTAAGTTTTTCCCTACTCTATCCTTTGAATGGTTAAAAAGTTTGTATTGCAAAGAAGAGCATATTTGCTCTGAAAATATATATATGCTTTCTAGATATTCTCTATTGGTATATATTTATGCATCTTTCACAACCAAGTAACAGTTTTTTTCTTTCAGGTGGCTTGCTCTGTTAGAGATTCAAATATGTATTATTTTAATATTTTATAAATATGACTGTAGTCTTCTAGACCCAGTACCAAAACAGGTAAGTGTTTTCAGAATTTTGAATAGCATGACTTTCAAATTTGATATGTAGTCTAATCCTTTGTTTTAATTACTAGAGATGAGCTGCTGATTTCCTCACATATGCTTGAATTTAACAGGTGCCTTCAATGGAGCCAGATTTAGAAGATAATCCCTTAATCCCTTAATTCTATATCTACTCTATTATCACAAAACCAGGACCTACTAGCAGTGTTTCCACCATTTACAGGGTTAAGGAACTCCTCAATCAATTTGCCAATTTTGATCTTGTTCCCTGGGTTAAATAAACATGGCCTTGATGTTGGGCTTGTTTCCCAGAAAGGCACGCCTGTGGGTCCACAACTGAGCCATCCATTTTGGAGACAAGTCATAGCCCTTTGTCCATTTGGGAAGCAATAGCATGGAAGGAAACAGTAAAGACAGTGATCAACAATGAAAAGGCTATGGCCTGATTCCTGCCTCTGACCTGAATATTCCCATCACTGAATATTCCAGTCATTTAACTCTTCCATGTTTCTGTCGGTCTGTTCTCCTAGACCAGTAGCTCTCAAGCTGGTACGAGCCTTAGAATCACCTCAGGGTGGGGTTGGGCTTGGGAGAACCCAGGATACGGGGCTTCACTCCTAGAGTCCTGCTCCAGGAGGTCTAAAGAGGGGCTCAAGGATTTGCATTTTAACAAGTTCTGCTGAAACTACTGGTCTGGAAACCATCTGAGGACCACTGTCCTGGGGAATAAGGAAAAGCTCAATTTAATTCCAAATGTTTGGAAATCATTTTGACATAAAATGTGCTTAAATGTGATTTTTAAAAAAGTGTTATTTAAACCATGGGTGAAACTCAGGAATTAAGCATTGCAATATCAAGGCTATTCGCATTGCACTTTGTGCTTTGATTTACTCTTGATATAAGGCTAATGAATGGAGGGATAAAATAAAACTCTTGGGCGACATTTCAATAGGATTTATGTAAGTGCATAAGTGACACAGATAGTATTGTATTACTCACAAATATGCACAGTTCAGCATTTTTCCTGGATTTCTTTTGCACTTCTATTTTGAGTACAAGTAACTAGCAGTGATGAAGAGCTCTCAAAATCCTACAGTGAAAGGGAAATCAAAACACCCTTCACAGGTTGCTCAGCAATAGTTTTACTGTAAAAATGAAAATCAGGGCTAGAATTTACACTCGCCAAACACTGTGATGGCAAATACACCGAGTTAGATATCATATCACAATGTTGCCGAGGGCTGCGCAGTATCCAGCTGTTTTCCCACCAGCAAAAGGACACAAGAATGCCTTTTCACATAAGCAGGATGCAGTTTGTCAAAACCACATGAAACCTAATCTTAGAGAACAGTAATTCAGACCAGTTCTTTAAGCAAGATTTTGCCCAGCACTTTCTTCTTCACTAAGAGTTCTGTTAGTTGTATTTGTTTGACTGTTCTATATACATCTTATTTCTGTTCTGATACAACACCACCATTTTTTTAAAGAAATGTGATCTCAGCTGTTAAAAGAATAGGTCTAAGTGAATTCTCATGATCTCAAAGGGCATTTTATGTCATAATTCTTATTCTAGAAAGAGATCAATTAAAATTATTTAATTATTGGACTTGTTTTAATAAGTTAAAAAATGGGACAATCAAAAAAATGCAGGGAATGACCTTTAAATTACCAAGCTTTCATAGGCAATGGGAAGGGCCAGGTTGCCAGGGCATATTCTGAACATTCTTTTGTTGAGTGCAAGGATATCAACTCCCCCAAAGAAATATACTTTAGTAGCAAAAATCAAATGTTAGAATCCCCAACAGTTTTACAACAGCCCAGTTGTTTTATTTTAGCTCAAAGGGTGTTAGGAAACTAATTTCAGTGCTCTCCCATTAAGAACCAAACTACAAACATACTAAGGACATACTACAAAGCTTTCCGGGATCCATGATTGGGCAGCAGTGTTGCTGGCACTGGGGGCTATTCCATTTTGAGCATTCATAAGAAGACCACCTTCAGTTCTCTTGTAAAAGCAAGCATACTTCTGCTAACATAGTGGGGTGTTGTTGGTTTGGTTGGTTTTTTCCTTTTTACCTACTTGGGGATTAGGATCCTTAGAAAGTCTCACAAAACCTATGGATCCTCTTTCTAGAAAAGTACCCACCTCTTCACACACACAAAATTGTGGAGTCCATGGAATCTCCACAATTTTGTGGAGCAACTTCAGGGAGACCACGGAAACCTTGCGACTCGTTCTGTTGGGAAGGAAAGGACTCGGCTCGGGGTCTCAGGGAAGTCAGATACAGTGAGATAAGAGACCAAAGTCAAGAAAGCAAAGTAAGTTTTAATACACTCTGCACAGAGTAGCAGAGCGGGCCTGCCTGAGATGAGACAGGCAGGCATGGATGCTCATTCTGAGGCTTCTTGTATGTTGTTTTCGCAGGGCAGAGAGGACCTTGATTGACAGCTGTCAGCACTCTAGGCTTGTTCTGATTGGTGAAATGGGGGCAGGGGCTGTGCTGTGCCTGTGCCTCTGATGTTTATCATCTGGGGGGACCCTGGACATTTCCTGAGTCACTCTTGGGCCCTGTGGCTTCATCTGATTAACTCTTTGAGTCATTTCTGGCTTTCTGGTTATATTTGATCAACTCCCTGAGTCATGTTTGGGGGGCTCTTTCTCCTTTTCATCCTTCTCATTTCTGTCTTTCTGCCTAACATTCCCCCCTCAAGCAGTTGGGACCCAAATCATTGGGATGAGGGACAATGACCACTCTGGCTGCTTCCTGCTAGATTATTTTAGCTCAAAGGGTGTTAGGAAACTAATTTCAGTGCTCTCCCATTAAGAACCAAACTACAAACATACTAAGGACATACTACAAAGCTTTCCGGGATCCATGATTGGGCAGCAGTGTTGCTGGCACTGGGGGCTATTCCATTTTGAGCATTCATAAGAAGACCACCTTCAGTTCTCTTGTAAAAGCAAGCATACTTCTGCTAACATAGTGGGGTGTTGTTGGTTTGGTTGGTTTTTTCCTTTTTACCTACTTGGGGATTAGGATCCTTAGAAAGTCTCACAAAACCTATGGATCCTCTTTCTAGAAAAGTACCCACCTCTTCACACACACAAAATTGTGGAGTCCATGGAATCTCCACAATTTTGTGGAGCAACTTCAGGGAGACCACGGAAACCTTGCGACTCGTTCTGTTGGGAAGGAAAGGACTCGGCTCGGGGTCTCAGGGAAGTCAGATACAGTGAGATAAGAGACCAAAGTCAAGAAAGCAAAGTAAGTTTTAATACACTCTGCACAGAGTAGCAGAGCGGGCCTGCCTGAGATGAGACAGGCAGGCATGGATGCTCATTCTGAGGCTTCTTGTATGTTGTTTTCGCAGGGCAGAGAGGACCTTGATTGACAGCTGTCAGCACTCTAGGCTTGTTCTGATTGGTGAAATGGGGGCAGGGGCTGTGCTGTGCCTGTGCCTCTGATGTTTATCATCTGGGGGGACCCTGGACATTTCCTGAGTCACTCTTGGGCCCTGTGGCTTCATCTGATTAACTCTTTGAGTCATTTCTGGCTTTCTGGTTATATTTGATCAACTCCCTGAGTCATGTTTGGGGGGCTCTTTCTCCTTTTCATCCTTCTCATTTCTGTCTTTCTGCCTAACATTCCCCCCTCAAGCAGTTGGGACCCAAATCATTGGGATGAGGGACAATGACCACTCTGGCTGCTTCCTGCTAGTGAGGGATGGTGTGGTCATTTGGGTCCCTCTGCTTGCTGTCAGATTGGTGGAGAGTAGGACAGTAAGGGTGTCCATCTAGGGGTCCCAGGAAGACAGCTGATTCATCAGTTGGCAGGGGCTTAAATCCATGTGACAACAGCACTTTGGCCTCAATGGACTTTAGTCTGGAAGAAACAAATTTAGTTAAGAGATTTAGTAAGCATGGTCCAAATAGTAGGGCTAAGAGAAGCATCAGTAGACGTCCTGTTAAGGGAGGCAACCAGGGTGCCCAGCTCCATATCTGGGACCAGTTGCCCCACGATTCTGATAGTTGTTGTCAGATTCTGGAGGCACGTTCAGAAAGCTTTTAGACAGTGTCTCTAACTAGGCCAGACTGGTTAGCATAAAAACAACATTCTTCTAGAAAGAGACATAGGCCTCCCTTTTCAGCAGTCAACAGGTCTAATCCTCTTCTGTTTGAAGCGTGACCACTGCTAAGGAGTCTATCTGATTTTGAACAGTTATAATACTTTGGGCAATTTCTTCTAGGCTGTCAGAAAAATCTTTGGACAGGCTTTCATAATAGGACAGCGAGATAGTTAGTCCAGCTGTGCCAGAGCTTAGTCCTGTGGTGATTCCTAAGCCTGTTAAGAAAGGAATGAGCTGTATAGCTTGTTTAGCTCTTATGTGAGAGGACAGAGGAATGGTCAGTGGTTAGTTACTGGGGACTATGTCAATGTCTGGGGCCAGATGGACTAGGGTACAGGTCTCCGTCCAATTAGCTGGGAGGCACAAATAGGTATTTAATCCACATAAGAAAAAGACTCCTTGGTTTTTGAGGCAGAAATTAGTTTCAGTGGAAAATAAGTGGGTGAGTGTATTGTTTTCATTTTCCCAGGCAGATAGAGTTCCTGGTAATACAGCTCCAGTTAAGGGTTGAAAAGGGCGCTGAGGTGTGTAGTGGACTGCTCAAGAGTTTTGTTTCTGCATTGTGTGAAATTCCTTTTGGTATCTATTAGAACCCACTTGGAAGAATTTTCATAAGTGGGGACTAGTAAGCATTCATATTGAGTAGGATAGGAACAAATTTCCCAAGGGAAAATATTTATACAAGAGGCAGGTCTGCCTTGGCAATATCCTAACTGCTTATTTTTTAATGTATTGGCCTATAAGGAACGTTTCCATGAAAATCGTACAGGTTTGGAAAAAGGGGCTGATTGAGTGACTTGAAAGTTGGCATGGTTGTTTGAGGGTTTGAGCTCTAAGATGAAGTTACAAAGATGCTCCTCAAGCTCTCCTAACTTTTGGCCTGAAGTTTGATATTTTTTAATATTGTTTTTGGCTAGAAAACTTAGTTGCATCTTTGAGCTGAATGACTACTGGGATGGCATACTTAGCCCTTCCTGAGATTCCTTTATCCCAAATGTCAGGATTGATAGACTGTTCCCAGTCCTGAAAAGCTGACAAGGGGGTTTTGGGAACAACTAGAAATTGGAGAGGAGTGTGACTAGCTGGGGGAAAGCTAAAAATCATCCTGGTGTGTAATTTTTCTAGTATGTCTTATCCCAAGTGGGAAATAGGGCCTTCTTTTACAACTAAAAATGGATGTGAAAAACAATGGCTATGGAGGAGACATCCTAAGGGAGGAGTGAGGGGCCGGGTAGTGGGGGTCCCTGTCACTCCAAGTACAGTACACTTTTGAGAGGAGAGGGGTCCAGAATGGGAATTGAGGAAAGAGTAGGAGGCCCCGATGTCAATTAAAAAGAAATTTGTCCTTCTTGCCATGTCCATGGTTACCCTAGGCTCTAGTCCAGTGATGTCGATGTCATGGGTTGGGGCCAACCGGCCCAGGACCTTTTCATTCCTGTGAAAGGAACTCAAGGACCATGGGCGGCTCCAATGGCCCAGGGGCCCTGTGGCCCGTGGAGCAAAGGGCAGCTCAGTGACCATTTCCTTACATTTGTAGCGGGGAGCCTGTGGAGGTTTATCTCTATTAGGACAGCTCTTAGCCCAGTCTTACGACAGATGTTACACTTATTATCTTTCTTAGAATTCTGGTCAGGACCTGGTGAGCCTCTGGACGTGGGCTGAGCCTCAAGGGCGGCTAGTAGCTGAGTTATGTCGGGTCTCCTTCCTCCTTTCCTTTTCCTGAGCCTGGGCCTCTTCTTCCCGATCACGGCCATAGAGCACAGTATTGGCCGTGGTCAGGAGCTCATCTACACTGCTATTAGGGTTTGCCTGGATCTGTTTTTGTAATTTTTTCCTGATATCAGATGATGACTGCGAGGAATTTATCTTTCAGAATTACTTATCCTTCATATGTGTCTAAATCTAGACTAGTATATTTAGTGAGGGTCTCTCTCAGTCTTTCTAAGAAAGTAACAGCATTTTCCTCTGGTCCCTGACTAATGGCAGCAACTTTTGAATAGTTAATAACTTTTTGCCTGGCATTCTTTAGCCCTGTCTTTATGCAAAAGAGGAAGTGGTTGCTTCTCTACATATCGTCTTTATCATTATAATCCAAATTAGGGTCTGTAGAGGGGACAGCTCTTTCCCCAATGGGAAATTTAGTATCTGATAAGTGGAGACTATTGGCAAATTTATGGGCTTCTTTAATAACTCTCTCTTGTTCAGGGTCAGAGAGTGTCTGTCCCAGGATTATCATGACATCTTTCCAGGTGAGGTCATAAGCTAGACTGATGTGCTGGAATTGATTGATATTGTTACCTGGGTTGGTAGTATAGCTGCCAAGATCAGCTTTAAGCTGTTTTAATTCCGTTAGTGAAAAAGGTTTGTGGATTAGCACTGTGCCAAATTCTCCACCTGCCATTTCTACTAATCGGAGAACTTTAGCAGGTGCCTTTGGAAGCAGATCTGTGTGCCCAGGACTCTGTTCTTGATGGCCCTGTGGGGCTGACTGTGACACTTTGCCCTTGGGTGGTCCTGGGTACTGGGGTAGAGGTAAAGCAGGCAGTGTAGCAGAGAGAAGGCTGGGAGTACTTTTTAACTTACAAGTCCGGTAGAGATCCTCTCGGCTCTTAAGATAGAAGAAAGCTTGAACATATGGGATCTCTCCCCATTTACCCAGTTTTTTGCAGAAAAGGTCAAGCTGCATGAGGGTGTTAGGGTTAAGAGTTCCATTAATTGGCTCCTGGTCCCCTAGTTGATATTGGGGTCAGGCTGTGTTGCAAAAGATTATTAGTCTTTTCTTTTTAAGTGTCTCTGCATCTATTTGGGACCAATGAGAAAGGATATAGCCCAGTGGCCTGGTTGCCCATCTAGGAAGAAATGAATGAGTTAGAGAGCCTAGCATCCCAGGGTCTATCCCAGAGGTCTCAGAGTCCCAAGACCTGTAAATCTATTCCTGTTTTGGATGTCTCCAGCAACAGGACAGAGGACTGAAAGACTAATCCTGCAGAATGGTTAGAGATCCCAGTGTCCCAGGGTCTACTCAGAGGTCCTGGCACAGTCAGCTGCCCAGGACTTTAACACATCCCACCTCAGATGTCTCCAAGTGGGATATGGAGAACTAGTCTTGTGGCTTTCTAGTGAAGGGTTAAAGGGGGCTTACTGTAATCTGAGATGATCCCAAGAGCTAGAGACAATGGAAATCAGGGCTGGCAGAAGGTCTTTGTAGGAGCCAGAAGGTGGCTCAACCAAACGGAAACTGGAAAGGAGATAGTATCAGGCAGCAAAAAAAAACCTGTTTGGGAGATGGCCAGGGGTTGGACTTGGGTGTGATTTACTGTGTGCCTGGTTGCACCGATGTTGTCTTGCGGGTGGCAGGGAGCCTAATGCTCTGTCCCCTATCTGCGACCACCTTATCCTGTCATGGGAGTCTTCTAGTAGTGGCCTGCCCTAGTGGCATTTTAGTGTGGCTGACCTGTGCCCGCTTTTGGCCAGAATAACTGCCCAACAGAAAATGAAAGTAAGAGTGACTTACCACTGCTTTATCCTAGTCACGGCACCAAAATATGTTGGGAAAGAAAAGACTCGGCTCGGTGTTGCAGGGAAGTCAGATACAGTGAGACAAGAGACCAAAGTCAAGAAAGCAAAATAAGTTTTGATACACTCTGCATAGAGTAGCAGAGCGGGCCTGCCTAAGGTAAGACAGGCAGGCGTGGATGCTCATTCTGAGGCTTCTTTATGTGGTTTTGGCAGGGCAGAGAGGACCTTGATTGACAGCTGTCAGCTCTCTAGGCTTGTTCTGATTGGTGAAATGGGGACAGGGGCTGTGCTGTGCCTGTACCTCTGATGTTTCTTATCTGGAGGGACCCTGGACATTTCCTGAGTCACTCTTGGACCCTGTGGCTTCATCTGATTAACTCTTTGAGTCATTTCTGGCTTTCTGGTTTAATTGATCAACTCCCTGAGTCATGTTTGGGGGCCCTTTTTCCTTTTCATCCCACTCATTTCTGTCTTTCTGCCTAATAATTCTATCAACTCCTCTAAGAATCTCCTTGCTAAGGAGCCCATTTTGTGCCCTGTTGCATTCAAACTGATAATCTAAATTGGACTCACCATCTCTTTGCTTATTCCTCATCTTCTCCCAACCCTCAAGATTGACAGAACAGATTGCTTTTTTTTATTTTCAAGCTCCTAAACCTTAATCATCTCTTTGTATTATTTGCAATAAACTGACCTCCCCTCACCCCTATACACATTCATTCCTTGCTGATAACAAGGACATATCAGAACATATCAGAAGATTTAGAACCCAGAGAATGTCCTTTTGGAAAATTATGATCTTAGTTACATATAGCAGTGGCTCACACCATCAACATCATGTTGTTTTTTGCACATTTATAGCTTGTGGTATAAGGGTCACCAACAATTATAAATGGGAAGTCCCAGCTTGGGGGCCAGGAATATTGAAAGAGCCTTATTTCTGGTTTCTTCTTTAGCCAAAGTAAAGGGTGGGTGGCAGGCCCATAGCCTTTGGGCATGTGAAACGGAAGAGATTGCCATTAGAATGAGGGATTTGCTTCCTTTCCCATTCCTGAATAGAAAGCTAAAATTGATGCTTGACATTGTGGAACCCATCAAGCAAACACTTTCAGTCTTTCAAACCTAAACTCTGTACCTTTTAGAGAAAACAACAATGGAATAAACTTAAGTCTAAAACTGTTGGTGATATCTCTTAATTTCTGAATTTTTTTTTGCATTTTTGCTTTTAGAGTTCTCTCCATTCAGTGGGTGTCCAGCAGCCAGAAGAGCAATGCCGGATGGTGTTTAACCAAAGAAAATGACAACTGCTGGGCCTAAGGAGGGCCAGGCCCTTTCTGAAGGGGTGACTGTCCCCCATTCCCTAGCCTGACAGCACCTAAACCTGAGCTCTGCTAAAACAGTCTGTTTAACTTTGTTTTAGGATTTCTTTCAAGAAAATGTCCAAATGGTATCTGGGTTTAGAATCTCAAAAGTAGGCCAAGAATCTGACATCATTCTCACTGATAAAGAGACCTAAATAGTTTACAGAAAATGTTTAAATGATTTTTTTAAAAGAGACATTTCTTAAAAACTTGAAGTTTGACTTCGTGCATAACTGTATTAAAACTTTAAATAGAAATAAAGTCACATGAATGAAAATCTTGAGACAGCAAATTGACACAAGGCAAAATACTTAAATTTGTATTTTGAAAAATGTTAAAAGTCTTAGACTCAAAAATTAAATAATGATTTCTGGAAATTTTCTATTTTTCTTAAATATGATTCTTGACTAGTAACTGGAATTCTTAAGCTCTGTTAATATAATTCTTTATTGCAAATATGTGTAGTGCTAGAAGTTTGAATAAAATACTACCTTTCTAAGACCTGTGAAGACAGGGGGCATGTCTTACACTCATTTCTACACTGAACTGTGCTCAAGACAGCATTTTCTCTATAAGGTGTATTCAATAATTGCATGTTTGTTGATGTATTGATTTGTACTTTTAATCTTAATTAAGGTGAAAATACTCAAGGTGTTTGTAGTTGCAGTTTATGAGCTGATACTTTTGCAAATTTATAAAACACAGAATCATGTGTCAAGGTAAATAACATGGTACATTTGAATCTATTAAGACTTATGCCTGAAATATTTACTATGAAATTCAGAAAAGAAATCCTATCATGTTCAGGGAAAACATGTGACACTAATAACAGAGTGATCAGTGATGTCATGATTTGTCCTCTAATATTAAGCAAAATGCTGCTTGCCCCCTTTATTTCACAATAATGAAGCTTTGTAGTGCATGTCGTCCTCTGGATTATTTGCTCCCCTGTGCTAGAATTATCCTGTGGGGTTGATGATGATTCCTTAGTCATCTATTTCCTACCAATAAGCAGATGACTCCCTAGGAGCAAATTAAGTATTTTGGAGTAGATTAACTCTTCCAAACCAGTAAAGTGATTTCTGAAGCTTATCTAGTAGCTGTTTAGCAGGCTTAGGTGTCTAGAGACTGAAGGGACCAGAGAAGTCCATTTAGAGGTCCACAGAAGACATGAAAGTTACAGACCATACCCTGGCAGGTTCTGCTAAGTGTGACAGGAGCATTCTCATGGAAGTAGTGTCCTTAAAAACAGTGAAGGCCTGCAGTGAAACACTGTATTTGCATATAATATATACTTCAGCTGAGTTTTCAGCCACCCAGGGCTGTGTTTGTCTCCTTATTCTTGCTTGGTAAGTATGAATGTTAGCTGAAAAGTTTATGCACTTTGAAAAAGAAGGCAAAGTTAGAAGATAATATTGACCTTTGAAATAGTGAATGATAAAAGGAATATACTCAGAGGCACTGTCTTGCCAGTGAGTTTTAGCCCCAGGCAAGTTCACTATGGATTCAGTGAGACTGAAAAAATGACAGTGGAACATTCTTGGGGTAAAAGGGTTTATACCCAACTTTATTGCCTCAGTGGCAGGTAAGTCACTAGAATTCCGTCCTCTCACAGAAAGTGTGCATGCAGCAAGCCGGTCTCTGCCTCTAGGCCTCTCTGCCACACAGATGTCTCAGTCTCTGTCCTCAGTGCTGCCACCACTCCAGCCTCTGCTCTCCTGCAGCCTTGCAGCTCTGTAGCCATGCAGCAGCCCAGAGCACTGTGCGGAGCTCTTAGAGTCAATAACAACATATTGCCCACACATGTGTAGTGAGCAAGCCGACCAGGTCCAGGTGAGAATCCTGGCCATAGGAACCCTCACTCTCTCCTCAGGTACTGTATTTCTTTTTATTTCCCTAGCCGAGTGTGGATAAAGTTCCTATGGCCAGGATCCTCACCTGAACCTAACCTACTTGATGTAATTGGCCTACTGCTAGGCTACTGCTTCCACACTGGTAGGCAGTAAGCTACTACTGACTGAGTCACTATATAAAGAGCTCTCTCAGGGCTCTGGGAAGAGGCAGAGACAAAGGAGGATTACAGACCTGCAGAATGTTGGATGCAGACATAATTCTAGTGCTTGAGCTTCACCAGGAGAATAAAGCTGAGTAATAAACCCTTTCACCCAAAGAACATTCCATTGTAATTCCTTAGTCTCACTGAATCCATAGTGAACTTGCCTGGGGCTGAATCCCATTGGCAAGACACTCTACTAAAGACCTAAGACACAAGAACTATTGTGAAACTCCCCCCTGCTGCAGCTGGATCCGATGCCATATTGAATATTCAGCTCCCTCCATCCCACATTCTTCATTCCTTTCACCCTGAGGCTGTACTTAAACTGATCTAGGCTGCTTGCCTGGTGAAATGAACCAGACCTCAGCACAGAGGGATCTGAGCCCTGAGCAGCCTTGCTCTTGTCAAGTTATGATTCCTATTCACGTTATTACCAGACATGAAACACCCAGAGGTGCCATGGAGAGTCCATTTAGCTTTAGAACTCCTCTCCCTCTTCCCATTGTGCAGCAGCAGCCTTACCTCCTGACGATAACTAGGGTCAGTTTCTCCTACCAGAGCGCTAACTCCCTTTTCTGACTCTTCCTTCCACTAGCAGTTTTCAGTTCTCTGGTAACCCATGGGCTTATTCACACAAGCTAGTCACATCCTCCAGCAGGAACTAGGGGTCACTCTATCCTCTTGATACTACAGAGCCTCCTCCCACAGCCCCTGGTTGCTCACTCTGTTCCTGAGTGAGACTCCTGTGGCCCTTTGTGACATGCACTGTCTACCCCCAGGTGGTAAGCATATATGACTAATAAATTGTATGTCCCATTTGTCCAGACCAGATGTAGCATGTTCAGCCATCCTCATAACTATAAGGTGGGGATCCTTTCCTCACCAATGGGGTGAATAGGAGGTGATTAAAACAGCTATTAACAGAGTCACTGCAGGCAGTGGAAGGAAACATATCAGAAGTAACTGCCAATTCCAGGAAGGATAAACTGCTGCCCTCCCCAGGGTCAAAGAGTCCCTTTTAGTGATGGTATATGAAGAGCTTAGTCCTGCTGTCTGCTCCTGGGAGGTCAGGCACTTGGCAGTGGCAGTGGCCGCAGCAGCTTTGGCAAGAACATAGGTTCCATCTTGTCCCCTGTAGACACCTCATTCATGGATCCATTGAGTAGGCAATGGAGGAGAGAGGCAGGTGGCAGCCAAATGATGAGCCGTCCTCCCTCCTGGCTATTCAGAGCATTCTGTGCAGTGGATGACCTCTGATGGACATTAAGGTAAGAAACAAAGCTCCACACACTGTGTATTTATCCCCATAGGTCCTGCCACATCTTTGTCTCTTATCTCCTCAGGCCCTTGATCCATCAACCAAGCCATTTGTCACTGCCCAAAAGTTTATATATATATTCTTACCTCAAACTATTTCTCCCTCTACACAAAGAATATGGCCAAGTGTACTCCTCAAAACTCTGCCCAGTGGGAAAATTTCCCCTCACCACTGTCTTTTTGGGGGTACCCCTGAGTATGGCTAAGTGGAGTAGAAGTCCATTTTCAGCTTCCTCCAACATACCAAGCCAACCATATGTCAAACAGACCCAAGATTTTTCCTCCTCTGTCAGCTACTCATACCCAATAGGCCAAAGGTGTAAATTGACAGAAATGGCTTAAACTTAAAAGTTTTCTAGAAACTTAAATATAACTATGAAATAGGTACATTCCGTTCCTCCAGCAAAGCAAAGGAAAGGACAAACAGAATGGCAAATTGCCATAGAGAACATCCTATGGGTTTATATAACTTAATATAGGGATGCCATGGGTTAAAGATAATATTGATAATAAGTTAATTCTAATTAATAATCATAAACTGTGGGAAAAATGCAAGATCCTATGGCCAGGATCCTCACCTGACCCAAGACTGCTTGCTGATGTAATTGGCCTACTGCTAGGCTACTGCTTCCACACCCTTTGGCAATAAGCTGTTTTTGACTGAGTCCTGTATAAAGAGCTCTGCCAGGGGAGAGGCAGAGACAGTAGTGGATTACAGACTGCAGGATGCAGAGGTGATCCTAGTGCACGACCTATGGCCAGGAGAATAAAGCCTTTTACCCCAAGAACGTTCTGTTGTCATTTCTCAGTCACTGAATCCATAGTGAACTTGACCAGGGATGAAACCCTCAAGCAAGACACAAACTTTGGCTGATTCTTTGTGTTTGGCATTGTGTAAGCGTTTCCCATCCTTCACCTTTCTTCTTTCAAGAAGAACAAATAAGAAACACACTCAATAAGAACTATTATTTTCATCCTCAGTTCTAAGAAATGTGACAGATTCTTAAAATAAGCATCCCAAAATTGTTTGCAGTACTTATTGAGGACATTAGGTTAGAAACAAGGGGTGCCTGTTGTACAGTTGCCTACACTGGTGGAAATTGACAATAACGTTTTATCTTTCAATTCATTTCTCATCAGAAGAGATGGAGACAGAGTTTCACTTAAGCAAAAGAGCTCTAAGGTAATGTTTTTGCATCACTTGACAAAATCATCTGCTCTCCTATTGAGAGAGCCCAGGATAAAGAAGGGAGGCTTTCCTGGACTGAAGAGTGGGGCTTCAAGAAAAAAGTTCTAAACAGTCCTGGTTGCACAGCTGAATCCCAGCTGCTGGGACTTATTTTCTCCTCTGTCGGTGAGAAGGCTGGCTGGCCTAGACCAGAGGATCTGGAAGCCCTTCTACAAGCCTCAAGCCTGCTGATTTCAATACACACATGGTGGTGCAGTTCATGTTGCAGTAGGTGCCCATTAAAGGCCGAATTATTGGGTAAATAAGTCACAGCTGTAGGCCTTTCTGCATCTTTTGTCAGGAAGGGGTGAAGGGCCAGGCTGCTCAGAGTGGTGGAAAGAACTGACGCTAGACTCAAACCTCTGCAGTCTAATTCTGGCTGATGCGTTTCTTAGTTCTGATACTGCTTCACCTCTCTCAGCCAGTTTCCTAGCCTCTAGAACAGGGGTAACTGTGAGAGCCACCTCACCGTAGTGTTTAGACTGAATCACTTTGTGAACTCAGTTACCTATCATGTGTCATAAAGTTATAAGATGCAATGATGATTTAAAATTTTTCTGGGTCAATTTCTTGGCCCTGTGAGGTTCCCTGAATATTGGAGTCAATATTCACTGAGCTCCCAGCACTGGTAGGCCTAGGAAATTTCTAGCTGTTATTTTTTTCAGAAACACAGTTATGTTTTCCTTCTATAACTGTAAGCACTGCCACCCTATTCTTCTTGTTACAGAGGTCCTGACTCATTTGCACTGTTGGATAAAAATGCCTCCTAGTTGAGACCCAGGTGCTTCCCATTCTCCTCAGCTAGCTTGCTGTGAACAACTCCAGTTCTTTGCTAACTTAAATTTTAGAGGTCTCTAGCTGCTCTGCTTCCTCTTGTGAAAGAGGCCACAGAGAATCCTGGAACTGCC